GCTGAACAACCGTGGCAAGACAAGGTCGTAAAATGCGGCAAGGCTTGCTTAAACACCGCTTTGCTTAGGCACAGAAATTTGGGTGGTTGGCTGTTAATGCAAGCGCTGAGTTATGGGCAATGCTCCTCCACAGGGATTAAGGAGGACAAGTATAGGCCAAGAAGCAATGGGTGGAAACTAATCAAGGAGAGACACAACTTAAGAGCTAAAGAAGGCATTTCCTGACAGTTACAACAATTAATCAGTGGAACAGCTTGCCTCCCGAAGTTGTGAATGCCCCAACACTGGAAGTTTTAAAGATGATGTTGGAGAACCATTTGTCTGTAGTGGTGTAGGGTTTCCTGCCTAGGCAGGGGGATGGACTAGAAGACCTCCAAGATCCCTTGCAACTCTTGTTATTCTATTCTATTTTATCCCCACCACCACCACCATCTACTACGTGCCCAGCGCCACGGCGGCTTCCACGCAAACTCGCCCCCCTCCCCCGCCTTCGCGCGTCCGCCAAAACCCGGGCACGTGCCAGTCCTTCGGACTCGCCCGCGCGCCCCCCTCCCCCGCAGGGCTTCGCTCGGCCGTCCCCCCCCGGTGCCCGCGCGCTCCCGCGCCTGCGCCTGTTCCCTTTTCGCAAAAGGTTAAAGGCACCGAGCTCTCCTGCCTAGAAAGGTCCAGATTTGTGGCGGGAGGGGAGGGGGGGCCGGGTGGAAATGGGTGGGAAGGGTCGTCGTCTCCGCCGCCGCTGCCTCCTCCTCCTCCTCCTTCCTGTCCTGGCTCCGGCTCCTTCCTCCCTCGGTGAGAAGCTGCCCTTTGTATGCTTCTCCATCCCGGGTGCCATGGAGAGGGTCACCCATTCCTGAAAGTTGGGATGCAGCGGCGGAGAGGCGCGATGCAAAGGCTGCAAAGGGAAGGTGAGTGCCGGCCAGGAGGGGAAGCCCGAGCTGGGGGAGAGGCTTTGCAAGGGTTGCAGGCAGGGGAAAAGAAGATCTGGCCGGGCACCATAGGAGTTGTAGTCCGGCCAGCCGCTCTAGCAGGCAGCGCGCTTTTGCTGCAGCATTGCTCGGCTGCAAAGCCGCCTTGCGCGCAGTTGCTCGGCTGCAAACCACCCTTGCTGGAAGACCTCCTGAGTAGGCGGTGTGTGTGATTTGTGTGACGATGTGCCCCCCCTTTTTTTTCGGAGCAGGGTCGATTTTTCTTCCCGTGACTTTGGGGTGTGATTTTTAAAGCCCCCCTCTCCCCCTCCAGAGAGAAATTAAGAAACTTATGATCCGGGATCCTTGATCAGGAAATAAGATCGCACTTAGGGAGAGAGGGAGAAAAAAAACAACTTAGGTTCAATCCTGCCCTTGCTTGTCCATAAGTTTTACTAAGGTCCGTAATGATTTCAGGTTGACTGATATAAACAACCAAGTTTCCCACCTGCTCAGTAATCCGAGTTTGGTAAACATTAGCCATTGAGGAGTGAAAAATGATGAACAAAACATCAAAACACATAGGAATGGTATTATTAAAGCGCAGGGGAGGTATAAAACCGTGCAAAAGCTGCTCTCCCAGAATATTTCTAAATCAGCCTTAGCTTTTAACTTGGAATGCATCCCTTTATTCAAAACGTACACTGGATCAAAATATAATGAATTGTATGCCTGCATCCGGTGTAACATTCAAAATAAAGAGAGCTGTAGATAAATTCAATAATGAAAGCTATCAGGAGTCTAGTTTTTAATCCACAATCTAACTGGTTAATTTTCTCCTAATTTTTGGAGCTTCCCTAAATTGTTTTTAATAGCTTTCTAAAGGACTGAAACCCCTATTTTATTTTTCATAAGCATCTTTTAAAAAACAAAACAGCTGAAGTGCCTGCAGCCAAACGATATAAAAAAATAAAAAATATGATTCCTGATTCCAAATCAATGTTTACCCTGTTGTAGAAATGACAGGGCCAAAATTCATTTTAAAAGGGAGAAAATGACCTTTTTTGGCAATTGTTTTGATGAAACAATCAGGAAAGGGACACATGCCCCTTAAATTTAAGCCTTGTTTTTTATCCTTTTTTTCCTGGATTTTTAAAATTATGTTGCCCAATAAAGAATCTTGGAAAGTTACAAAGTATTTTGGAAAGTTTCAGTTGGCCTAATAAAGCAGAAATGGTCAAGCTTCCAGATATTAAATGTCCTACAACAATCCCTCACAATGGTCAGGTTTGCTGGGAGTTGCCCTGAATAACTTTGCTGATTCTCCATCTCTACAATAAAGGTATCCTCAGAATTTGGATTAACTGGCCTGGTGTTTGCTCCTTAAGTAGCAATTGGAGACCCCTGCTGATCTATTCAAACCCACCCAATAGTGGAATAATAGATCCTAATCTACTTTTTATCCACCCCAGGCTACACTGATTATACAGTGATGAGGGATAAACTGTGGGGTTTTTTTTCTCCTGAGTTCGCCCAAGATCTTCTATTCAAAGATCTATTTCCATTTTTACTAAATCCTCAAGGCCCATCTATTGTTAATAGCAAGACTGTGTTCCTGCAGCTGTCCCTCAGGTAACCTGTACCATGCAACCACAGAACTAAATCGGAACTATTTAGATAGTAGGGTATGAAGATGGATTTAGTTTTTAGCTCCAAACAGCTCTGGGATTCTAGGCGGTTGCACTAAACACCAGCCACTAGCAGTCAACCTGCTAGTTAGGCCAAGCAAATTGGGACAAGAGCATTAACAGCGGATTAATTTCTTCCTCCCGCTGCCAATGCAGAGATTGACCTGGAATGGCCCTGCAAAAATCAGAACCACTGTAATGTAGGACCTTTCGATCTCTCTTTTCCTTTTTTCCACAAACAAAAACTCCAGGAAAATGGAGCAGAGGAAAATGGGATGTACAAAATAGGATTGGTAAATTTCCCCCCCATTTTGTCCGCAATAGTACTGACCACAATCAGGCCCACTATGGGATCCAGGACTGCAATAAAAAGAAGCCAGAAGATATGCCGTGTGGTGTACTTTCTACCAGCAGTGTGTATGTGTAAAACTGCCCTGGTTTGAATGGGTTGTCTGAAAGCTTAGTGCCAGTTCGCAGTGGCAGCTGTTTTCTCTGACATAGTAGCTGAGTTGGTTGGGCATCTTATGCAACTGTAATCTTAGAATTAAAGACCAAGGTGGTTCCCATTCCATTTTGAGTACAAGGATTTTTTTCCCCAGTGTCAGAAAAAAAAATCGTAGTTGTTGAAATCGTACTCGTTCCTTCCTAAAAATCTGTTCTGTGGTTTTCTTTGCAAGCATCTTTTTTGGCACTCTAAATTGAGGGGTGCAAAATTATTGTTGCTCTGGCTAAAACAATAGGAGTAATCACAAGGGGTTGGAACCTCTTACAGATTTTCAGGTAAGTTGGAATAGATTTTTTGATAAATCGTTCTGATTTCTGTAATTAGAGACATCAGTGCAATGTTTCTCAACCTAGCCAATTTCAACTCTCAAGACTTCTCTGGCCAACCTGCTGGCTGGGGAATTCTGGGAGTTGAAGTCTGCAAGTCGGAAAATGGCCAAGATTGAGAAACACTGCATTAGTGATTAGACCTGGAAGATTCTGCTTGCATAGGAGTATCATAGAATTGAAAAAGCCCAACTTAATTCCTGTGTGTGGACCCAAATTAAAACTGATATACAGGCAATCCTCGGCTTAAAACAATTCATTTAGTGACAGTTACGACAGCACTGAAAAAAGAGACATGACCATTTTTCACACGACCATTGCAGCAATCCCAAGGTCACATGATCAAAATTCAGATGCTTGCCAACTGGTTCATATTTATGGGGTTGGAGTGTCTTGGGGGGGTGTCATGTGATCAGCTTGTGACCTTCTGACAAGCAAAGTCAATGGGGAATCCAGATTCACTTAACCATGCTACTAACTTAACAAATGCAGTGATACGCTTAACAACTTTGGCAAGGAAAGTCTTAAAATGGGTCAAAACCCACTTAACAAATGTTTCACTTAGCAGCCTAAATTTTGGGCTCAATTGAGGTCATAACTCAAGGACTACCTGTAGATGACTGTTTTAATATGTATTTCTGCTGAAGTACAAATAGTCTTGGGCATTAGGTGGGTGAGAAAAAGCATTGAAAGAATCCAATCATTTTTTTAATGCAGTGATTTTTCTCCCTTCTATTTAGCAGAATAATGAAATTTGTCCCAGAAGAGAAGGAAAAGAGTATCTGAAACATTTATATTAAAATAAATATTTAGAACTCAGGATTCCTGTGGAATTTTGCCTTTTTCTGAACTGGCCACAAACCTGGCACTCTTTCTTGCTTGTACAAAGGGATAGCAGTGATTTGCATTCCCACAATCTTATCACAATTCTCATAATATCCTATAGAGAAGATTCATCTTCTCATATTCCTAATCTTACTTATAGTCTGAGGATAAAACTAGAGCCTTTGAGGTCAATCTGCCTGACATTAGCTGCTCCCTAAAGTATTTAGGTTATTTTAAAAGCCACTTTCAAGTACAACATAGGGTTGAAATGTAGAGTGGACATCAAACTGCAGTCATCATTAGGCAATTTTCTTTTTCCAGTTCAGATTGTCCAGCCAGCAACTAAGATGGCATCGTGTCACCTGTGGAGTCCAAAGCTCCACGCAAACCAAGGGGAAAGAAACTCTCATATTCTCCGTGGGGAAACTGCAAAAAACATCCTGACTGGGGCAGCTCTACTGCAAAACAAGCAGGGACTGGATATAGGCCTGCAAGAGAGCCAGAAAACTCAACATCAGAAAGGATTGGCAATGGTGCCTTCTCTTTACTCTGTTTGGAGACCATCCCGGTTGTTCGAGTCGGTCTCCGAGGAGGACATGATGGCATTCAAGGCTTCCTATCGGATGATGAAGCAGCCCAACCAGTTGTCCAAGGAAGGGCGTCCAATGGGGAGGCCCATCGTGCAGGGCCTCAGCAGGGAACCACAGAAAGCACCCGAGAACTTGACAAGATCGGGGCCTTTGAAAGAGCAGACCTCGACTGAGGTCGACCCTGAGAGCTTGGAGATAAAACGCCAACACTTCCGGCATTTCTGCTACCAGGAAATCGAGGGCCCTCGAGCGGTCTTGAACGAACTCCAGGAGCTTTGTCGCCAGTGGCTTCTGCCGGAGAGGCGCACCAAGGAACAAATTGTAGATCTGGTGATCCTGGAGCAGTTCCTGACCATCTTGCCACTGGAGATGCAGATCTGGGTCTGTAAAGGTGGTCCGGCCACGTGTTCTCAGGCCTTGGCCCTAGCAGAAAAGTTCCTCCTCCGGTTGCAAGAAACGGAGTCTGGTAAACAAAAGGTAGGAGCGTGCTTCAAAGACAGCCTACAACAGGCTCTTCCAATGTCACAGTTTTGAGATGGGACTTCAAAATGTGGCCTTCTTGGAAGTCTACAAAATATAGCCAGGTATTCTCACTAGGGTATATAATTTAGCAACCAAATGTGGCTCAAATTCTGCCAATTCTTGTGGCCCTTAATTTCTAAATGTGGGTCTGCTGTGAAAAAGCCAAGAGTTTGAGGTTGCAGACAGCAGGAATATTGTTTCCAAATCATGTGAATTAATAGTAGTAGTTTCCATCTATTTTGCATTGAGGAGATCCCTTATGGGTTTGCACAATACACAACATGCTCTCTCTGTTGTTGTTTTTTTAATTAGCTCAGTCTCTGGATTCAGTTTAGGCTCCAATAACAATAATTGTATGAATGCAGCATACGTTTAAGTAAATTGTGTGAACCCAGCCACCAAGACTATCCCTTAAAGTTCATCCAAAGAAACTGGAATTTTGTTCAGAGAAAGGCATCCAGGGAGGTTGATCAAGGTGAAACCCCAAGGAGAGGATAAGGGAACTGGGTATGTTTAATCTAAAGAAAAGAAACCTTTGGGATGACGCCTGACAAAATGTTGACGTGATGAACCGTTTAGTGGGCTCAAGAGACAACGAAATAGATTTCTGTGCAGTTATTCCACCTGTGCAGTCTGTTGCATTCACTTAAATTTATGTTAATATTATGACGTCTATGGTGGTTTATACCTGCAGCCCCCAACCTTTTGGGCACCAGGGACCGGTTCGGTGGAGAGAGGTTTTTCTGTGGATTGGAGGGGGGCATGGTTTTATGTGCTGCCTGCAACCCATGGATGGGGCTTCGCTTGTTTGTGCGGCCCGGTTTCTGGCATGCCAGTAGAAAGGCCAGGGTTGGGGGACCCCTGGTTTATACCACTTGCAGGATGACATAGGTAGTCCTACATTTCTGCAATATGTCTTCTCATGCCTTTTTTTAATGAACTGCATATAAATCTGGGCTGCGCCAACAGAAACGACAACAAATTATTGAGGACTGGATTTACCAGCATTTTTAGGGTACTTCAAGGAGCATAAAGCAATAATTTATCTGTTTGTTTTGATTTAGCTACAATATCAGGGCTCCTCCGTTCAATCCCTAGGAAAGAAAACCCTTTGACTCCATAGATTAGAGAAAAGGTACTTTTACTAGGAACGAACTCAATACAGCAAAGTTCAGGCAAGATCTAAAGAAAATTCATGGAAAGCAATGAGTTAAACAACCGCAGAGCCATCCCCCCACCCAGTAGTCAGGCAACCAGAGTTCAATCATCAGTCAGAAAAATGTTTTGGGGAGTCCCTGGTCCAGGGGAACCGGTCATCCTTCCTACGTTTCGAAGCCTGGATGGTTGGCCTTGAAAATTGCTAGACAACCCTGGCCTCCCTGAGACCAGGCCTTCTCATAGCTTCTCAGAAATTTCACTTCCACCTCCTGCATGCTTGTTATCCCAGATACCCAGTGCTACACACACACACACACACACACACAGAGTTTCCATGGCAGCTGGCAGCAAGTTTGAAAGAAAGCAAAAATGCAGGCTGACATACAATCAATGAACAGTCAAAACAGGAACAAGTTGGGATTGGTGGTTCAATACAAAAACAGATGCCAAAAAGGCACATGTAGAAATAGTAGATGTGACTTACCCTCTTCCCAAAACGAGTGGGCAGATGTGGCAGAGTAGCTATTGAACGTTATTTTGGAAAGTAAAGTACCGATTGTCCTTGACTTACAATCATTTGTTTAGTCACTGTTCAAAGGTATGTTTTGTTGGGGGTGAAAAAAATGACTTCATCTGTCCGTTCGATTTCTATAGCTGCCCAACTCAACTAAGTGACTCTGGGTGACTTACAGTGTTCCTTCAGACACATGATCAGAAATGAGGCTCTTGCAACTAGCAGGAATTTATAACATCCCTGGGTCACAAGATAGCCATTTGTGACCTACCCAGGGAGCTTCTGACAAGTAAAGTCAGTGGGGGAAGCCAGATACACTGAACTTAACTAATGTAGCAAGAAAGGTCAGAAAAATGGACACAATTCATTTAATGACTGCATTGCTTAGCAAATAAAATTCCTAATAGTTGTAAATTGAGGACTTCCGGTCGAAAACCGAATGACCCCCAAAAAGAGTATAATCAGGCAATTTTTTGATGAGTTGGAAAGCAGGCCTGGCTGTGACAATGGAAGTTTGGTTCATTGGACTAAAGCAGGGGTCTCCAAACATGGCAACTTTAAGACTTGTGGACTTCAACTCCCAGAATTCCCTAGCCAGCTATGCTAGCTTCCTTAGCATAGCTGGCTAGGGAATTCTGGGAGTTGAAGTCCACAAATCTTAAAGCTGTCAAGTTTGGAGACCTCTGGACTAAAGGAATTTGGAGATACGTAGGGGAAGAATATAGGAACATGGTGGCTCAGTGGCTAAAATGCTGGGTTTGTCGACCAGAAAGGCCGGCGGTTCAAATCCCTAGTGCTGCCAACCTAGCAGTTCAAAAGCATATAAAATGCAAGTAGAAAAATAGGACCCACCTTTGGTGGGAAGGTAACGGTGTTCTGTGTGCCTTCAGCATTTAGTCATGCCGGCCACATGACCACGGAGACGTCTTCGGACAGCGCTGGCTCTTTGGCTTTGAAACTGAGATGAGCACCGCCCCCTAGTGTCAGGAACAACTAGCACATATGTGCGAGGTGAACCTTTACCTAGGGGAAGACAGTTATATGATCATCCTTTTTTTCCCCATTATAAAAAGGATCCTTGATTCTCTTCCAAACAAACTTGCTTAATTTCTTTTAAAGCAGCTGACCATATCAAAGCCTTCTGCCTACATCTTGGCTAATCAGGCACATTTCCTGTGTTTTTTCCTTCAGGTGCCTGGACTTCTAGAGGAGGAATTGGTGAATTCCCCCCCATCTGAACGTGATCCCTCAGTTACTGTGGAAAGCTGTATCTCCATAGATGAGGAGGAAGATGAAGCCGTCTTGGGTAAGACTGAAGGTCTGTTTATCAACATCTTCTTCAAGAAACCAGGCCCAAGAAAGACAAAGGGGGGACTAACTTGCATAAATCTTAATTGAAATCCAGAATTTGCCACTATAATTTGTGGGTAGTAACGCCTGTCCAGTTTTTGTGCAGTTGTTGATCTCTTTTACTCAGTAGTAAAGATCAATACTTAGAGCCAATCAGCCTTTGGACATGTGGAGAAGATTGGTCTAATCTGTTCTGATGAAATAATTCAAAGGAAAACAATGGGACACAGATACTATTTTCTTCTTCTTTGGAGTTAAAAAACTGGATTTCTTTCCCCTGGCAGGAAGTGGCTCAGGGCTTTGTGATACTGGAGTTGCTGTGTGTGCACACAATATATTATTTTTCTTCACGAGACCTCATGGCATCTCCCGCAATATATGCTCCTATATACCATCTTCCCCAGCCTTCTGTCCCTCAAACACCTTGATGTGAAATTCCTAGGTTAAATAGCCAGCATGCCAGATGCATCTATAATACAAGAGAGTAGAGAAAAAAGAACATTTTCAGAGCAAAAAAATAGCATAAGAAAGGTATCAGCTGTTTTGGGAGGGCATTTAACATTTGCAGTTATACTCCCTACCTATCTCAAAATATTCAGCAGGAAAAGATTACAAGTAGTGAACAGGAAAAGTAAAATAATAAAAGTTGTGGGGAAATTATAGAACATTGGGGGTAAATAGAAAATGGGATGTCTTAGAAATTCTGGGTGGCTGAAATAGTAAAGCAGTGTCTTCCAACTTCAGCCATTTTAAGCTGTGTGGACTTCAACTCCCAGAATATCTCAGCCAATAATGCTGGTTGGGGAATTCTGGGAATTGAAGTCCACACAGCTTAAAATGGCTGAAGTTGGAAGACACTGCTTTACTATTTCAGCCACCCAGAATTTCCAAGACATCCCATTTCCTATTTACCCCCAATGTTCTATAATTTCCCCA